CTGTACTTGCACGGACACAAACACACACACTTTAATCTCTAAATCTTCAGAATATTCTTTTTAAATCCTCTTGGGCTGGATCTGGTGTCTGTTTTGTTTCATGTTATGAAGCTTCCTCACTACTGCCACTCCCCAGCCAGCTGCAATGCTCACTTTGAATTCTTACTTACGTATGTTTTTTTAAAAAATCCTGCATTTACAAACACACACACACACACACACACACAGATATTTATAAATATAGGACCTGGAGTGGTGTGGGGCCTGCTTTACCTGCCATCTGCCAATGGCTTGTATGTAAATACTGCTCAGTCAGAGGCAGGCTTACTAACACATGTGGGTGATTTAAGAGGTAAAGATGTTGAAGCTTTCAGCCAATATTCCTGGCCAGTTTAATCTCCCTCGCACAAAAGGAAAACAAAGTGGCAGCAATCTCTTTTAAATTTCTTCCTCCCACCCTTTCATCGGCAATCTGCAATCTATTTAGAATTATTTGTGGCGTGGACTAATTCCCAGTGGCCCTTGGCAAGCAGAAAATTTATTTATTTTTTATTCTGCCTTTATTACTTCGTAAGTAGCTCAAGGTGGTGGTGAACCTACATGGTACTCCTCCATCCTCTTCTTTTTCCCCAAAAACAACAATCCTGAGAGGTGGGTTGAGCTGAGAAAGAATGATGGCTCAAGGTCATCCAGCTAGGCTTCATGCCTAAGACAGGACTAGAACTCACCGTCTCCTGGTGATTGGCCCAACTGTGCAGCCAACTTTCATGCCCGACAGGACTAGAACTCAAACTAGAGTTCTAGTCTAGAACTAGAACTCTGGTCCTCAAACTAGAGGACTAGAACTGGTGATTTGATCCAGTCACCCAACTTCATGCCTAAAGCAGGACTAGAACTCACCGTCTCCTGGTAATTGGCCCAACCGTGCAGCTAGCTTTCATGCCTAAGGCAGAACAGAAGAACTCAAAAGTCTGGTGATTTGATCCAGTCACCCAACCAGCTTTCATGCCTAAAGCAGGACTAGAACTCACTGTCTCCTGGCGATTGATCCAGTCACTAACTGGCTTTCATGCCTAAAGAGACTAGAACTCAAGCGTCTCCTAGTTTCTAGGCCAGTGCCTTAACCACTACTTACACCAAACTGGTTCTTTCTAGCATAACTTGCCAGAGAGAAGGAAATTAAAAACTCTTCTGCATTCTGAAAGGCTAGGATTGAAGGTCATGCTGGCTGGAGAATTCTGGGAGTTGAAGCCCACACATCTTCCAGTAGCCAAGGTTGAGAAACACAGGGCTGGACACTCAAGTCATTTTGATTATGGACTAGATAGAAGATTTGGGTCCTATTTATGCAAGCTGTTAAAGACAGTGACATCTCTGGGGTCTGGAAGTCTATGAAAGTCTGCTGGGCCAGCCTGAAGAGACCCGAAAAAGTGGAGGGGCACAGGAACTTAATACAATTATTGTAACATGCTGGAGGGGGACGAGTCTCCCTACATCAGCCTCACACACACACAAAAAAACACCCCTCAGCTGCTTATTGCACACACTTCCAAGAGATAATTGGGAACAGATGCTAGTGGGAAAGGCGTATGGTAAGAAAAGGGGGGTGGGGGCTCTGGAGCCCAACGGCATTTCGGTGTTTCAGAAGGCTATGCCACCCGGGAACCAGGAAGGAGGTCAGCTGAGGGGCAGCCTCGATTTGGTGCTGTTAAACAGAAAAGTATTGAAGACAGAAAGGGGAGGGCAGCCCTGGCCTAAAACACTTGAGAGATTCCCCACAGACCCTTTCTGCAGCCGCCTTCATCTTTCCTGGAATGCAGGTAATCGGTTGGGGGAATCTGGTAGATCCAATCCCAGACACAGCGTGAACCTAATTTAGAATCAGGGATGTATGCAGGATGCTAATTGCCCTTCCCACGTTCTTGCATGCCAATCCCCTAATGCTGTGCCTAACCAGGAAAGCAACTGAGGGAGTAAGGAAATAGGAACAAGGAGCAGACAAGCAAGGAGAATAAACTGCGTTCCCAAAGAAGGAAATTGTTGGAAGGAAGTTGTCAGTTTGGAGCAGGGCAACAGAACCGGCCTTGCTTTGCAGGCTGAAGTGAATGGCCTGCTCCCTTTTTGGTCTGCCCAGGTCCCTTGTCCCAAGCAAAGCGCTCCCACAAATCAGCGCAAACCGTCAACAGATCTAGGTCCCTTCATTCTCGACAGGTCTGAAAAATGCCCCACGTGGTTTGCCTCCGTGCATGTGCGAATGCTTCTAGCGCAGGCAGGCAAAAAAGCAGAAAGAGAGCTATTTTAAGATCGAAGAAATATGATCATTAGATAGGCTTTCTGTTCAAATTCCAGGCACAGGAAATGCCAAAAAAAGAGTAACCGTCATTTTTTGAAAAAAGAAAAAAAAAATAGAAAGTATGACTTTCTCCTCTTTCCGAGCTACTGTTCGCTTCGCTGCATTTTCATTATAGAAAATATTTCATACAGCTTACCAGGAATCAGCAGTCAACCCCCCCCCCCACCCCCAATGTCCAATCTCAGATCAAGTCCAGGAATAACAGAATCCTTTCTTCACCAGAGCCCATCTGTAATTCCACATATGGAGTTCCCAGCCTCAGTTTTTCATCATCCCTGCCTGTAAGATGGGTATAAACTTATAGTATCCCCAAGGATGACTAGAATAAGGTGCACGTACTGCTATGAACGCTTTAATGCCCTGGGTAAGCCCTAAATATATCCGGTTTAGATATGGCATGGCTCTCCTCCCAGAATGCTCCTTTCTCAAATCCCCCGAGATCAGGAATAGATGGCAGTTGCTCGATAAATTCACTTGGTACAGGAGGATAAATAAAAGCCACAGGTGGGAGAGATGTCTTGAGTTAAATCTTGAGCCTTGACCTTGACCGATCTTGAAAACTTAAGGAAAAAATCCAATCTTAATACTTCAAAAGGGGAGCCACCAGGAGATCCAGCAATGAAACGGAGGAGTCCAATACATTCCATCAGAAGGAAGCAGCACCTTGCTTGGCACAGACTTCTCCTCCATCCTTAGGCGATTCAAAGAGGAGATGCGCATATTTGTATTAATTAGGCAAGCAAGGTAGCAATGCGAACTGGCTCTGCAGGTAATTTCGCCTCTCTACTTTCTCACAGGATACCCGAAGTAAAGGAGGGGCGGGAAAAAAATCAGATGCATGCAAATGGGGGAAAGCAACACCCCTCCCATCATGGTCAGGGAAGCAGCCTTGCTGAGTTGGGGGTTGTGATTGTGGTTGCATCAGGTTGTTGTGCAGCCTGATTCTCCCCAGAGCAGCGTAGGGAATATATATATATATATATATATATATACATATTCTTTTCTTCCTCTTCTTTTCCCTGCGAAGCGGGTCAGAAGAGTCTCCAGCTCCAGTGCCCCAAATAAATAATGCAACTTCCACATTTTGCAGCGCAAGAGTCCAGCGCTTAGAACTACTGTAGGAGCGGAAGCCTGACGGGGGCAGAGGGGGGGGCGGTGGCGGTGGCGGTGGAGACATACCGCGAGTTTCAACAAAAGAGCCGTTGAGGCAGAAGCAAGTCGGAAAGGTAGCGAGGTGGAAAGGCGGATTCTCCGGTCAACGGGGGCACTAGGATTTGGGCCAACCCCCCCTTCCCTCCAAGAGATCCAGCAGGCTGAGAGCAAGCTGCAAACCCCCCCCTCCACCACCCCCATTAATTAGGAGCCTGGATTGCTCAGCAGACTAGTGCATTGTAATTTAACTCCAGCTGTCTGCAATTAGTAAGTTCGAATCTCACCAGGCTCAAGGTTGACTCAGCCTTCCATCCTTTCTAAGGTAGGTAAATTGAGGACCCAGTTTGTAGGGGCAATAAGCTGACTTTGTATAAAATACACAAAAGTATGAAGGCTATTGCTTAACGCATTGTAAGCCGCCCTGAGTCTCCGGAGAGAAGGGCGGCATATAAATCAAATTAATAAAAAAAAAATCAGAGCCCCTCTCCCCCCCCCCCAGGGCGCTTAGCCACTCATGGTTGCAAATGCCAAACGTGCCACCTTTTCTGATTTTTTTTCTCCCCCCCCCCCCTCCCCTCTATTAATGCATTAACTGCCTTTTCGTGAACCCCCCCCCTCCTCCCAGCAGGCAGCCTCGAAGGTTGCAACCTGGTGCTGGTTAAAAGGGGATGATGATGATCCGGCCCGGGATTTAAGTTTGGTGTTTTGCAAATCGGACCGTTTTTAGGAAGCGAATCGGGGCGGAGGGGATACGGTAATTACCCACCCCCACCCCACCCCCACCCCACTCCTGCCGGTTGGTTTACTCTTACCACCCCCCTCCCCAACAGCCTTGCGAGCGCAGACCCAGGCCCCCTCATGCATGCACGCTCTTCGGCAAGCCACGAGTGCTTCTTTCTCTTCCCCCACTCCCACTCCCACTCCCCCCCCCACTCCACGGATCACGGAATCCCGCGATCATCCCCCGCTTTCTGTAAACCCGGGCGACGCGGAGCAAGCGGACGGGCCGCCAGAAGGATCGGCTCTGCCGGCCAGCGGCTTTTCGGTTGCGAGCGTGCGATTCCGTCCCATCACAGCCCCCCCCCTCCTCCTCCTCCTCCTCTCCCGCCCCTCCTCTCCCGCAGCCCGCAATGAGTGCAGCCTCCCGAGCAGCCAATCCGGAGCCGGGATGGGCGTGGTCACCCTCTGCCCTGCTGAATGAGCACGAGCTCCCTGGAGGTGGACGGCGACAGTGTGCCAAGTAGCTGGGGAGCCGCTTGGAGGGTCCCGGGCATCGAAGTGAAGGGGAAGGGAGGGCGGGGGGGGAAAAGAGGTGCCAAGCCCGGGATTGGTGTATGGTTTTTGTTTTTGTTTTTTTTTTTTTTTTAACTCTCGGCTGTTTTCAGCCTCTTTTTTTTTTTTTTTTTTTTTTTTGCCGGGCTGTCTTTTTTTTTTTTTTTTTTTTTTTTCTTTCCCTGCTGCTGCTGCTGCCTCGGTTAGCTACGCTGCACTTTTTTTTTTTTTTTTTTTTTTTTTTTTTTTGGCTTTTCCCACCAGCCCCGCGACAAGCATCAAGGTCAAGGCAGAAGCGGCATCACTCGCCCCGCGCCTTGGGAGAACTGCAAAGGACTGTTGGAATCCACCAGCACCCACCCCAGCCTGCCAAGCTTGGGGCAAAGGAATCGGAAGCCAAGCTTTTGGGGAGAAGAAGGGCGAGGCGGCCGGGGAGGGGGGAAAAGCGGAGGCTCCCGCAGCGAGCCCCCCTGTCCCCAGCCCGAGCGCACGCCTTCTCCGACCGGCGCCTTTTACCTACCTACCTACCTACCTACCCACCTTCCCTTCCTTCCCATCATGAAGCCGGCGATCTGGCTCTCTTGGACCGTCGCCCTGAGCTACTTTGCGCACTCAGGTACTGTAACGGGCTGTTGCTGGCTTCTTGTTGCTTTGGGGCGATCGGAGAAGTTCCTCTCGTTGGGGAAAGGGGGGGGGGGCAGCCGAGAAGAGTGGGAGGGGAGGGGACCCCCCACCTCCACCCCCACCCCCGTTCGGTGGGTTAGAAGCCATGGCGGAGACCCCCTCCCCCCCCCCACCTCCTCCCTGGATCCTGTCGGTTAACCTGAAAGTATTCAGCGCAGTGCAACTTCTTCTAGGAAAGGAATAGTTGGGTGTGTGTGTGTGTTTTAATGCCTAGGTTGCAAGGACTTTAAAGGGGAGAGGGAAAGAGGGAGGGTCCGCTGCAAGGGACGGATGGGAGGGGGGGGTGGGGGGGGAGGCCGCAAGAGCCTCCCAAAGGAAAACGCTGCCTTAAGGCTCCAGAACGGTGCGGTTCAGTGGTTAGAGCCAAAGGAGGCATCGGGGAGGCTCCTGGCATCCTTCCTTTTTGGGAGGGAGGGAGGGAGGGAAGGAAGGAAGGAAGGAAGGATGGACCGGCCGAGGGGTGGGGATTGGGTGGCAGAGTTGGGTGGGTGGGTTTTTCATCCGAATTCCGCCTGCCAGCCTTGAGTATGCAATGTACTTGTACGTATGACCTTGAGGAAAACTCGCTCGAGGTACGGCGTGCCTCCCTCCCTCCCTCCCTCGCGTGGAAAGAGGAGGGGAGGACGCGGTGGGCTTCCGCGCAAGCCACTGCAAGAGAGAGAGAGAGAGGAGCTTTTTCTCCCGCATCCCCGGAGAAAGGGGGTTTTCTCTTCTCCCTTCTCCCCCACCCACCTTCCATCCACCCACCCACCCACCCACCCCCCTAGACGGGAGTTTCATCTCCGCAGAAGAGGGTCTTCTTGGGGGTCAGGGGGCTCTCCCCCACCCCCGCAGAATTAGCCTCCTGCGAGCTCTGCAGGTGAGAGGAGAGGCGGGGGTCCGACTCAGGTCGCCGTTTAAAAAAAAAAAAAGAAATCTCTGGGTGGGGAGGGGGGCGTGCATGGGTCAGGGTCGAACTCGTGGCCTCCCTCCCTCGGAGGGACTCCCCCTCGCGGTTAACCTTGAGACGCTACCTCGCTGAAGGCAGTCGCAGCTCCGGCGCGCCCACCCCAGCTGTAGTTTTTCCCACCGCCTTGTCATTCAGGGGCCGTTTGCATCGTTTGCCCACTGGGCTTTTCCCTTAGAAATCTGGAGAGGGGGTGGGGGGGGGGGTTGCTCCGCTTTGACAGCCCCATGAAACCTTCCCCTTTTCTTTTAAGGGAAGCTTGTGACGTTGGGGTACGTCTCCCATAACTCTTTCTCTTCTCTCCCCCCCCCCCTCAGCACACCCCTCTGCTTAAAAGGCCTTAAACACACACCTACACACCCCAATTTCATATCCAGGGCATAAATAAAGGTGTGGAGCAGCCTTCTCCAACCTAGTGCCCTCCAGATGTGTTGGGATACAGACACTCCCCCCCCTCAGCAACCTCCCTGTCCAGGTTGCCTTCAGCTTGGGAATCCCTGGGTGTCCAATGTTAGGGGGGCCCATGTTCTTAGCAATTCTGTCAGTCCTCCCCTTCCGACCCTTGGAAAAATTAGCCCTTTGTTTTGCCATTGCATCATCCTTGGTGTGAAGTGTACTCTGCACATGTCCAGATGCCAGACTTTTTATATATTCTTCAGCTGATCCAAACCAGACCCATGGGGAAGGGAAGGGAAGGGAAGGGAGGGGAGGGGGCAGCCAGCCTCCCTCAGTATGCCAATTCCCAGGAATTTTGTCTGTCTTGACTTGGGATGAGTGAATCCCGTAGATAGGCTGGATGGATCTCTGTGCAACACGGAAGCAGAATCCTGCCTGAGTTGCTCTCCTGGCTGTAGAGGAGAATGCAAAGAGGTTCAGCCCTTTTTGGCTACTGACCCACAATGTGCTCATTTTGGGAAGCTCTGTTGCAAACCTCTGTCTCCTCCTGATGGGAAGAATTGCAACTGGGTTAGAGAGAACAATAGTGACTCAGACCCAGGGGGTCTGGCGGATGGGTGCGGGGTCAGAGACCTGCCTTCTTTCTCCTATGCAGAAAAAGGCAGCCTTCTCCCCTTGCCTTGCAGCCAGCGTGCCAAAAGCTGCCTCTGGGCAGGGTCAGCCTGGCAGAGAGGAGCACAGGTGGGTGGGGAGAGATGCCTCCTCTAAAGAAAGAGAGACCTCCAAAAAGGGGCTTGTCCAGTCGCAGTGCAGCCACCACCAAAGGTGCACCTGCTAAACTTATCCCTGTCATGCGGACTGCAACTCTTAAAGGCGCAGCAGCCCTTTTAAGCGGGACAGAGAAAGCAGCGGCATGGAGGCGGATGGGGGGGGAGGGAGAGAAAGCTGACTGTTGTTTTCCTGTTCTCTAGGCTGGCTGTCCCGGTAACTCTGCTGTCAGATGCCTTAGTGACAGAGATGGGAGTGTAGAAAGATGGCCCCGGGGAAGAGTTAAGGGGGTCATGCTGCGTGGGGAGAGGAGGACAGAGTTCACACTTACATGCCTGGCTTGTTCTGGCTGCCCTGTGGCTACAAGTTCCTTTGCAGTAACACTAATGGTTGCTGAGTGGCCGTGGTGCTCTTATCCCGGGGTGCCTGCGCCTCGCTGGAACAAGGGGGAGGGAAGGAGGGAAGGGGAGAAGCAGCAAAGGAGGACGATTCCTTAATGATAATATATCTTGAGCAACAGCTAGAGGCAGCATCCGGAATATGGGAGCGTAGCAGGGCACCGGTGGGGAGGGGGAACAAGGGGGGGGGACGGAGGGGAGTCTGATTTCCAAAGGATGTCACCTTTTCTGAGTCCTGCAATTAACAAAGTGGATTATTACGCAGTGGGATGTGTGCTTTTTGGACCCGTGAAGAACTCTGTTGTCATCCAAAAGCTTGTCTAGGTATGGCACCCTTCACTTGGTTTGTTAAACACATGCTGTTGATGTGTTTACGCATTTTCCAGAATTAACTTCAGGGTTTTTTGGCAGGAGACCGAAAAGGCCACTAATGAAAGAAGCGGTCTACTTTGCTTGCTGGGATCACCTGCCAGTTGAATCTGTGCCGTAAAGATCCACTTTATCACTGTTGTTCTTCTCTCTAAGCGGTGTTCTTCAGACTTCTTGCCAGCGTGACACACAGCCGCCGGGTCCCTAAGGAGCATACTGTGTTCACATAACACATTAAATCTAATTACTGGATTAATCCGTTTTCTGAATTTGCACACTAAGTTGAACGATCATCATCATCGCCCTAAACAGGCGGCGTTCGTGTGTCACACTAAGCTAATCAACACCAACACGCAAACAAATCTAAAAGTTTGGGGCATTGTGCAAATACAGCACCCCCTTGTTTTTAATGTATCTGGGTTATCCTATGGTGTGAACGTGGCACTGGTATGCTTGGTTCTCTGAATTTTTCTGTTTGGCAAAGATTCGGAAAAATATTCTAAAGCAGGGATTGGTCAAAGGAAGCCTGTGATCTAGTAGGTTATTCTTGGTTGGCCTTGGTGGATCTCTGCCTGCTGTCAGGAGTTCGATCCTGACCAGCTCAAGGTTGACTCAGCCTCCCATCCTTTGAGGTTGGTAAAATGAGGAGCCAGATTGTTGGGGGCAATAGGCTGACTCTGTAAACAGCTTAGAGAGGGCTGTAAAGCACTATGAAGTGGTACATAACAGTGGTGAAATGTAAAATTTGTTACTACCGATCCTGTGGGCGTGGCTTGGTGGGGGGCAGTAATGTGATGGTGGGCGTGGCCAAGTTTTTTTTTTTTTTTTTTTACTTTTAAAAGCATCTTTTCTACAACCTCTTCCACCAAAGAGGTTGTTAAAAAATGCTTTTAAAAGGCTCTGACGATCCCAGCTGAGTTGCCTGATCATCAGAGGCTTTTTTTTTTCTTTTAAAAGCATCTTTTCTACAACTTCTTCCGCTGAAGAGGTTGTAGAAAAAATGCTTTTAAAAGGCTCTGACGATCCCAGCTGAGCCGGGCAATCATCAGAGGCTTTTTTTTTTTTTTTTTTTTTACTTTTGAAAGCATTTTTTCAGCAAATTGCTTTTAAAAGTAAAAAACAAAAGGCCTCTATGATCGCGCGGCTCAGCTGGGCATGGCGGTGGGACAGGGATTTTTGCTACCGTTTCTGTGAACCACCCGCCGCCATCGCTACCGGATCGGGCAATCCGGTCCAAACCGGGAGCATTTCATCCGTGGTACAGAAATCTAAGTGCTATTGCTATAAATCACATATTTTGTTTGTTTTCATATACCACAATTTTTTTTTACTTGTCTGTTGGAGCAATATTAGAAACTAGAAAAACCACGTTGCTGGTAGGCCTCCATATGGCTCAATGCTCGTTACTAGCACTTTTTCAGCACTTCTAAGAAGCAAAAGATTTGGGAGAACAGAAGCCCTGCTTTCCCGGCCAACCATGCAGGCATAATACAGATACTCCTAAATTAACCTTCAGCTGTTCCTTGGCACAGTTTACTTTTGGTACAGGGAGTCCTCCACTTACAATCACAACTGGGATTGTAAGCGGTGTTCTTCAGACTTCTTGCCAGCGTGACACACAGCCGCCGGGTCCCTAAGGAGCATACTGTGTTCACATAACACATTAAATCTAATTACTGGATTAATCCGTTTTCTGAATTTGCACACTAAGTTGAACGATCATCATCATCGCCCTAAACAGGCGGCGTTCGTGTGTCACACTAAGCTAATCAACACCAACACGCAAACAAATCTAAAAGTTTGGGGCATTGTGCAAATACAGCACCCCTTGTTTTTAATGTATCTGGGTTATCCTATGGTGTGAACGTGGCACTGGTATGCTTGGTTCTCTGAATTTTTCTGTTTGGCAAAGATTCGGAAAAATATTCTAAAGCAGGGATTGGTCAAAGGAAGCCTGTGATCTAGTAGGTTATTCTTGGTTGGCCTTGGTGGATCTCTTGAAGTAGCTATAATGATCTTCTTAGCTCCACATATGTAGAGGGATATGTCTACATT